TGGCAATATACCACAACATTTGTATCAGTAGTGGGTTTCAATTTATTTTACTACTTACAACTTGTGCGCGCTCACACGACGCTTTTGCATCCAGGCGGGTGGGTGGAACTTCCCGCCACCGCTGGTTCACCCAATCCGGGGCAAACCGGCAGAAACTCACCTCTGATTTGTAAGTGCAATTAAATGCCAGGTTTGGGCTGAGAGTATTAGATTTTTTTTTAGATATCAATGTTAACATGAATGTAATTTGTTATAGTTAAGACATATTGCTGCTGCATGTCAGACATGTAACACTTATTATTGGACAACAGATAGGTAATATGTGTTTATATACATTTGCCTTAAAAGCAAAAAAATCAAATGGAAAAGGTACCATTTCCTTTTTTCAGTATCACTCAAAATACTGAGCAACAAAGTAATGAAATTTGGAGACTAATGGCCAGTACCAATATCGTCTTATAGTAAAGAAGGAAAATATTTTAGGATTTCTTGTAAAATATTATCTATATAGCAAATTATTCAACCAATAATAGAAAAGATTGTTTGATAAACAACTATGTATTATGGGTGGCCTCCAGACTAGTTAAGACTTTCACGAAACATTATTTGAACTATGAATATATTATTTCTCCCAACATATCTAGTACATTCTATTCCAATATAAGAAGAATTAAAAATTAGGGCAAGGGAATACTTTAGAATGAAAACTCATGTTGATTTCAGTTTTGAAATAAAATTGTGAAACATTATGTGTGAGTAAAACTGCTGGAAACATTCCACAACCTATGTATGAATGAATCAAAATTGTTTCCTCTCTTTTTAGGAAAGTGGAAGAAATTAGTTCAATGTATTTTTAAAAGGTAACTCTAGGTTCATTATAAGCTTGAATGACTTCTGCCTAGGGTAGTCCCAAGCAAGATAGGTGGCAAATACATTTAACAAATAAATGAATAAAGTTCAAATCAAGATATGAGGGTATTTCAAAAAATGCCATAATTAAACATATTTAAATATATGTATCTTACAATTCAATGCAAACCTAAAAAAAATTGTTTACTTGCTACAGATATCCCAACTGTCAAGGCCATCTCCATGGTGACCCAGATGGCCGAACAGAGGGACTTCTACAACCCACGAAATTGCTTCATTGGGGAATGTGACTGATGACAGACCTTGGGGAAGGGGGAACAGATTCAGAGCCGGGGTGTGAATTAAGTGAGACCAGAGATGGCTTCACTTGAAGCTCCTAATATATAACTGGATTTCTTTTGAAGATTTGCTTGAGGCTCATTATTTAAGTCATGCATCAGTGGCAACCTTGACACCAAGCTACATTTTATCACTAATTTAAAAAAAGAAACAAAGAATGCCAACTGATCTTCAGAAAAATGATTTTGTGTAAACCCATGTTTTAAAGCCACTATTAAATGTTGATTCATGCTTTCCATTCATGTTTGCCTACAAACCTCTAGTAGATTTACATAAAAGTATAGCTTTTCATTCATCAAAATGATTAATTGAAAGTTTGCTCTTTATCTCGGTTTATTAAGTGGCTTCACTCAACAAATACTGGTAATTCGGGAATTGTAATACAACTTGCTTTATATGTCTAGTTTGTTAGTATATGAGAACTTCAAGGTGGTAAATTCCAGTGTTTACAAAATTCAGTACCTATCAGGATTATAATAGACTATCCTCTCTTAACTACATCAGGAAATTATCTCTGAATTTCTCCATGTAGTGTATTGGCCTTTCATTAGAAATGGAGGGAAGAGTGTCTTTACACTTATTTTGGGAGCCAGTCTACAAACAGTCTTCTTTAATTAACAAGAAAATAATTTTATTGAATAATTTTTAAGATTGAAAAAAAAAAAAGAATGGTACATTTTAATTCTTTTTTGCTTTCTTATTGCATCAACATTACAAGAAGAAAAATATCTCGCTTATAGCAACACATGAGCAAACAAAAAATCAGTACATATAGAATCTTGGTTAGATTTAAGAGTTGCTTTCCTGAAAGACCAGCTGGGGCAGGTCCTTATAGAGAGTTTCTAGCGTATTGTCTATTTTTAATGTTTAATGCTTTCTTACTGCATCAACATTATAAGAAGAACTATATCTTAACTATTATCAGGATCTGCTTAAAGCAACAAATGAGCAAACAAAAAATCAGTACATACAGATTTTACAAAAATATAATTTCACACCATGTGCAGAAGCATACCAGGAGACATCGATCCAATAATCTAATAGGCTTCCACATGCATATTCAAATAGCATATGTGCTAATTGATGGCTTAAGATCAATAAAATTTATCCCACCCATACGGCTGGGCTCAACTGGCACAAAATATAAATACAAGATTCCTAAATATCTCAAATCAACATGGTACACCAGAAATGTTTTAGGTCCAGACCACATTGAATAAAATGGGATGTGCTTGTGTTCTGCCATTCTGTTGGAAGGGGGGAGGGGAAAGGAGGTTTGCTGGCATTTTCGCATACTTTTGCTTTACTGCTTGGGAATTAGGGAGGGTCATTGTCTTTGGAGAAGGAACAGACTCTCTCCCAGCAGTTCCAGCCTGGTTTCAAGGCTGCAATGCCCTGAGGGTGAACTGTTATTATCTGCCTAGTATCTCAGCTGGTATCACTTTGGCTACAGGTGGACTAGTTAGAGGGTTGGGCTTGGGTAAACCAAAGAATTGCGTTGTGCTTTGCGTGGGACTTTTCAGATGCTACCTTGCTTTCTTGCAATCACTTTCTCTCAGTAAAAGTTCTTTCAATTCAATTTAAGAGTCTTGGTTGGATTTAAGAGTCTTGCTTTCCTGAAAGACCAGCTGGGGCAGGTCCTTATAGAGTTTCTAGCATATTGTCTAGTTTTATTGTATATTTCTCCTTCTAGGAATATTAGTATCAAAGCTAAAAGAGCATGTAAGCACTAAAAAGTCTTACATATATTTCAACTGTTCATATTTAATTTGGAAAAATAGTCCATCCCATAGTTTTAAGTTGTTCGATCTATTATTCTATTCTACTTACAATAAATACACAGATGGATTTTGATTGACATTTCACTACATACTAGTTAATTCAGTAACTATATTCATTTATTTATTCATTCATATTTATGTGGTCACCCATCTCACAACAAGTGACTCTGGGTGGTGTACAATAATGGTGTACCAATAATGGTACAACACTATACCATTATTAAGTAGCTCGTAAATCTCTTTGCAGGTGGAAAGATAACAATTTATATCTATGTTGAAAAACAGATGAGAAAAGAAACTAAATACCATGTTTCCCAAAAAATAAGACAGTGTCTTATTTTATTTTGACCACCAAAATATGGCTTGGGCCTTATTATGGGGGGAGGGTTTATTGTTTTGGGGTTGCCGGGTGGCTGGTCTCTTTTGAGCGGGCTCCTGAAGAGCTGGGCACAGTTTCAGGAGTGAACGGCTGTGTTGCACTGTCGCAGCAATGCAACACACAGCCATGAGGTGACCACGCTCACGAGCAGCCGCCCGGAAAACCCCCTTTCCAGCCAGGAACAGTGCCATTCACTGACCTTGGGGTATCCTGAAGGTGCCAAGCTGAGTGAGTGCCTGTTCCCACCCCCCGGCTCAGCGCCTTCAGAATACCCCTAAGTCAGTAAATGGTGCTTTGCACGGCTGGAGAGGGGGGTTCCACGAGCGGCTGTTCCACTCCCCACTCTTGCGCCTCCTAGCCTCACCATGCTCTGGCCCAGCTCTCCCTGCAGGGCCAGGGCACCGCCATCGCCATCCCAGCAAATCTTCTTCTGCAGCTTCCAAACCTTGGAGATTGGCTGCTGAGTCTTCCGGCAGTGACCGCTCTGGGAGTACACGCTATGGTTTCGGCAGCGGCCGCAGCGATAGGTGGCGGTGATCTCCGCCACCTAGAACAGCTGATCAGCAGTATTCTGGGAGGCTGATTCAACCGCCAATCAGCTATTCGGCAGCAAAGGCTTCAGTGTTCTCCAGCAGTGGCAGCTCAGCTCAGCTCAATTGACCAGTGGTGGGCGCAACTGAGCAGAACCCTGACAAGCCACATACTGGGGCAGCGATAACATGCTGAAGCTGACCAGGCTGTTTGCTACAATGATGCTAGAATTTTTTTTTCTTGTTTTCCTCCTCTAAAGCAAAGTGTTGTTGTGGCCTGCCAGTGGCCAGCGGGGCTAGCAGCAGATTCAGACAGTGAGGAGGTTGGGGAGGAACATGGGCCAGTCCTGGAGTCTGTGGTAGGCTCTGACAAGAGCTCTGCGTTGGAGGCAGAGATGGGGCCAGGGTCGCCTATGAGTTATCAGCTGCCTTCGGAGTCAGACATCAGTGAGGCAGACAAACAGCTGGAGCCTGTTCCCAGTGTGCGCACACACAGTTACCAGGGAACAGCTAAGGAACAAGGATTGACTTGGGAGTAAAGCCACATGTGGTGAATGGCCCCTCCCATAGGAAATAAGAGGAACGAAAGGGGAGGGGTGTTTGCAGGAGAAAATTAATTCATTCCGCATTCTTGCCAAGTATTACGGCATCTGAAAGATATGGGACTGGCCACTCTCCAAGCTTGATAAAGATCAGTAATTATGAACTATTTTGAAGGACTGTGGGAAGGGACTTTGCTGGAGAGAAATTCACTGTAAATTAAATAAAAAGGGTTTATCAGGATGAGAACTTGGCTTCATGCTGCTGGGGAAGCCTAGGTCAGAACATGTGCGTCTTATAGTCCGACGTGTCTTATAGCACAAAAATATGGTAGATTTTAACACAACCATGACATTAAATTATGAGAGTACTTTTGTGTCACTTTTGTATGGTGAAATTTTATTCACCATGAAAAAGTTGTAAAAATCCCAGTGAGTTAGAAGGGATTATTAAAAAAATAACATCTACTCTTACTTTCTTTCAGGGAAGCACAGTGATCATTTGACAACAAATGCACAAGTCACACCATGATTATTAAACAGATGAATGTTGAAGAAAAAAAATCTACAGTAAATTCACATTAAATCACACTAAATTCTAATATTGACTTTTAAAACTGGTGTTCAAAGTTCTAAAATAAACATAATAAAATGATCACATTCTAAAGGTTCAGTGCATTCAGCAGCTACAATTTTGCTGCTAATTCAGCTAAGTTAACTTTAAGAAATAACATACTAGTTCATCAAAATATACATTGTGCATTTGCTTTTAAAGTAATAAAAACCATTTAAAGAATTATTAACTGATAGTGTGGTTAAGTTTCAAAATAATCTACAGCATATAATTTAAAGTCAAGATGCCAAGACAAAGCATGTGGCAAGCCTACACATTTCATGCAGCATGTGTAGAGGAGTCTTTCAGCTTCAAATATCAGTCTTCTTCCAAATAGTATAAAATACCCATCTAAAAAATAGTCAAGGAATCCAATATTTTGTTTTCTCATAAGTTTAGTTTCCCAACACGTATAAAAAATATTTTTTCAAAATAAATCTTAATTTCTTCGAAAATAAAACAAGAAACTCATTTTAGCATGCTTCATCCTTTACATCTCATTTTTTTTTAAAAAAATGATTATACTGATTCCATTAAAAAGTTGTATTAGTATGTGCAAATCAGGGGTGGATTCAGCGGATTCAAGCAAACCGGTTGTTAAATTTTTGCACAGTTTGGAGAACTGGCAAACCATGCCACTCGCTGGCCTTCCTCCCTCCCCCTCCCTTCTTATCATGCCTTGCCTTACTTGGGTGATGCTTAGAGTCACGCCGGGGCATAGCTGCAGCTGCTGCTCTCTGGTTCCCTCGTTGGCCTCGACAACGTGGCCCAACTGATCTCTACCTGGTAAGTCTCCCACCACTTCTTCCCCAGCTACCTCCCATGCAGGGCCCCGCCCACTTGTCTGCCTTCCCCGTTGCCTTCCCCGTGGCCCCACCCGCTTGTCTGCCTTCCCTATGGCCCTGCCAATTGCCTGCCATCCCCATTGCCTTCCCCTCTTGCCTGCCTTTCCCAAGGCTCCACCCACTTTCCTGCATTCCCTGCTTGCCTGCCTTCCCCATGGCCCCGTCTGCTTGTCTGCCTTCCCCGTGGTCCCGCCTGCTTGCCTTCCCTGTGGCCCCACCCACTTGCCTGCCTTCCCTGTGGCATTGCCAGCTTGCCTGCCTTCTCCATTGCCTTCCCCTTGGCCCTGTCTACTTGCCTGCCACTGCCGTGGCCACTTCCTCATTGCCTGCCTGATGGCAAACAATGGATACTGCAGACAGGGCAATTTCCTATGTACCATTCCAAGCTCCTTCTCCGCACTTAGGCTGACAAAATGAAAACCCATCTAAAGATTGTGACTGCCTACTCAGCACATGCTGGCAAAAGGAGGCTAGGGGGGGAAAAGGGGGGCCAATGGAAATGTCGTTTTCCACCTCCATTGGGCTATCTGCGCCACGCTGAATCGGGATGGGGAGGTGAGAGAGGAAAGCAAAAAGCCCACTCAATCTGTACATTCCAGCATGATGGCGAATCTCTCTTTCAGCTCATCGGTTTGGGCATTGGGAGCTTGAGGGGTAGATTGTGCCCCCTTAAGTCCGTCTGCTGCTCCTCCAAGCCCTGCTCTGACTGCAGAGGCAACCAGCAGGCTTGTTAAGGCATGCAATATGCTGCTGCTAAGCTCCTGGGTTCTGGGCAAGAGCACTAGAAGAAAGGGAGTATAATTGTGAGGGTGGGGTTTTCCAAGCCTGGTCCTAGAGGGAGAAAGAGATTAGTGTGCCTTGCCTCCCCTGCCCCCCCCATCCCACGGCTCTAATTCTTAAAACTTTTGGGAGGTTGCATGCATGGGAGAATTGGTGCCTGGACAAGAGGGGAGTGCAGGCTGACTGGGCAAGGAATCCAGGTTTGGAGGAGCAGCAACTGTTTGGAGCTTGCTAAGGAGGATCACTCTGCCTCAGCCATTCATTTACCTGCCCAGGCTGCTTGGAGTGAAAAGCATGCAATATGCTGCCAAGTTCATCGCATGAGCACTGGAAGAAAATTGGCCGATGGTCAGCTGCAACCAGAGCTGGGCTTGGAGAAACAGCAGACGACTTCAGGGCACTTAATCTACCCCTCAAGCTCCCACTGCCCGAATCAACAAGCTTGAAGAGAGATTTGCCAGTGTGCTGGTGTGTATGGACTGAGTGGACTTTTTGCTTCCCCACCTCCCGATTTCATCAAGCGAGGCACAGACAGCCCAATGAAAGCGGAAAACAGGGTGTTTCCATCAGCCCTTCTCTTTTTTTCCCCTAGCCTCCTTTTGCCAGCATCTACTTGGCAGGGAGTCGTGATCTTTAGATGGGCTTTTATTTTGTCAGCCGGGGGGAGGGGCTCGGAATGATACATATAAAATCACCCTGTATGCAGCATCGCCCTGCCTGCACCACGCAACCTTGCCGTGAGTGACGTCGAGTTGGTCACGCTCACTCAGTTACAATCCACGCCCCCAGCTATGCCCACCCAACCTGTTACTAGGAGGAACCAGTTTTTAAATTACTTGAATCCCACCACTGGTGCAAATATTTGTATATTTGCAGGATTATGAGTTCTTGCCCAAGATTTTTTTATATTAAGACAGTACACTGTGTTAAGTAATAATATATTTTAGGCTTAATGTGTCATTCCGTTTAAGCCAGCTATGATATAGCACCAGTGGGTTTCCCGTTCCAACTGGTATGGTTGGAATGGGCCCGACAGCATCATCATGGATGTGCGCAGCGTGCGCATGCGTCTTAGCGCCTCTGCGACGCTCCAGCTGCTCTGTGGGGCATCATGCAACCACTGTATGGGCCATGCATGTGCGCAGAAAAACACAGGTAAGGGGCTCGGGCACGTGGGTGGGCCCTTCGGAGCACCGTACCGAAACGGTATCCAGTGCTTCAGGCTGGCTCCGGTACACCTGTACCAGGGCGTACTGCCTGCAAATCACCACTGTTTAGCACTAACTGAAATAGGATTGTTAATAAACATGGTTTCTTATTGAAGGATACAGCTCCATGTATGAAGGGACACATACAACTTCTTTTGAGAATTCAACAGGACAATATAATCTGCCAAGTTGTTCTTCATAGAGAGACAAGGCTTCCGTGAGGTTGACACAATTTCCCTGCATAAGAGGAGGACAGAAAAAACAGTGTGTCAAACAATCTAGTGGAAGGGCAGAGGAGGCAATTATATAAAAATAAACATTTCATGAATTGGTTCTTTATTATTAGAAGACTTTATAATGTGAGTGTGCATAACTATAAATATATATTATAATGATTATTGCAACAAAGGTGAAGCATAAAAAGGGAAAAATAAAAGATCATTTTTAGAAAAATAGAGACTAAACAATGGCAATTAAATATTGCCAAAGTTTAATCTTATACAGCATACAGCAATTAGAATAATGGAATATGAACATTCCAAGGGCAGATAACTAAGGATATATTTTCTTATTTTACTATTAAAAAGTCTTTTAATTAAAAATACTTTACATTTTTGTTAATATTTAAAAAGTGGAAACTATCAAAAATATTACAGAATAATATTGCAAAATATTATTTAAACAAGATCAAAAGTTACATTAAGCTTGGATAGGAATCTAAAATTAACCACCATCAGCAGTGGTTATTTGGTTCTGCTGTCTTTTACAAAGTATATAATTTTTCTCACATCAAATTAAGTAGAATAGTACATAAATAACATGTGTATATAATTTAAAAATCACAAACAGAAAAAAGGCACTAGATAATTTATCAGACAACATACTGAAGTTATTTAATGGCATGACCAAATCTATACAATGTGAGTAATCTAAAGTCTTGTTTAATAGACCATCATTCTTGTTAACAAATTCTAATCATCATCTTCAAAAATAAGTAAACCAGAAGAGACAGCGGACAAAACAAATTAGATGAATGAAAAATGTAATTATTTAAGATACTCAATATGCAACACCGCGTTTAGCAAAGTTCATAAATTTCTTTTCTCTAACAGTATTTATATCAAGAACAGGGAATATTCCACTACATTTGATCTGTATAAATTCATGCTTTAGGATGATTTGTTTGTAATCAATTTATGCTCTTATATATTCATCAAAACATCTCTAAAATTATGTATACTGTGCTGTAAGGTACAATGAATGTGAGATGGAAGAAAGATTCAACCCTGAAAAGCTTCTTATAGTTGGCAGCAGAAGTGGGGTGTATGCAAGATCTGTCCTGAAAGTCTACACAAAGCACGCTGTGTGCAATGTCTGAAAGAGATTTAAATGCTTCAGTTAACACTTATACATTTCTCTACCTTACATAGGTAAATGTTTTCTAAATAAAAGTATCATGTCATTTCAAATCTTTCCACTAATGAAACAAAATCTCTAATACAATCAAGTATATGGATATGATAGGGTGCTTTGTTAATTCAGGTTCATATTACAATTTAAAACTATTGGTGTTGCAAGTCAACAAGAATATAGGACTTTAAAATGGGCAATGTGGCTCACATATGGACAATTAACATCTGGAACTGATTGCAGCTGCAATTTAAAAGGAAAATGAGTGCATTTCACTAACATAATTTAGACGGGAGGAATTTTTTTATGGAAAACCTTCTGAAGCATTTATTTACCTCTAAATCTTTTGTAAGGCTCACCAAATATTGACCACACCTTCTCCTGTAACAATACTATATTTCTAGCTGGTCTTATGTGGCTTTTTAAAGATGAGGAGGTTGAATAGTCCACGTCTCTTTAAACATTGATGCTCCTTCTTTAGAATTTAATGCACAAAGGTACTAGGATGGAAAATACCTCTGTAAAAATCATGTACCCCGGCTGAATTCCTTATCTTGCCATTCTAGATAGGGATAATAATGAGATTTTTATTCTCAATAACCCCAGAATTCCTATATATACAAAAGAGTAGATTTTCATGTCATACTTTAGCATATGAATCTCAGCAGCCATTATGGAACTATAGGACTTGATGAACAAAACAGTTAAGTCAGGTTCTCTCCAATAATTTTGCTCTAGGGAAACAAATGTCCAAAAATCTTGTAATCTTTACTATAGCAATTGTTCTGAAAGGTGGCCTTCTTTCTTTCTTTCTCTTTTTTCGCGCGCTCTCTCTCTCTCTTTCCTTCTCTTGCTTTAATGTATAAAATAAAATGAAAACCTATAACAAGTTATAAAATTGAAGCACCATATCTTTCAGAGTATAAGATGCACCAAGGTTTTGAAGAGGCAATTTTTTTTTAAAAAGTAGGTAGGTAGATAGAGGGATAGGCAGGGAGAGAAAGAGAAATACAATAGGTAGGTAGGAAGAGAGAGTAGTTAGGTAGGTGTTGTGGCCCAGCAGGAGCCGTTGGAGTTGCCAATGGACTCTGATAGCGAGGAACCCTATGAGTCGGCTATGGAGGACCCTGGGCAGGGTTCAGACTCCGAGCAGGGACCAGGGAGGCTGGTTGGCCACCAGGAGGCACCTGAGGCATGGAGCAGTGGGAAAGATCAAAGTGAGTTTGTCCCTGACGTCAGGCATTGGAGCAGTGGTGAAGATCAAAGGGAGTTTGTCCCTGACGCCCAGCAAAGAAGGGTGGAGAAACAGAGGCAGCAGTTACGGAGACAGACTCATAAGAGATAATCAAGCCTAGGTTGTTGTGGCTTGGCTCTTCCCAAGAGAGTATATAAGAAGAGACTTTGGGAGGAGACCTTTTGCAGGACACAACCGTTCATAACAAACTGGAGAAGCTCTTGTTTGTATTGTATCTCTTGTCTGTGGG